TATAAATATATATATATATATATACTTTGCTGGTTTTTGTGTTCTCTAGAGAACCCAATCCAACACAACATTGAAGTCATTTTTGTATTTCTAACTTTAATAAATAAAAAGTCATAAACTTAATTCTACCACACTTTAGAAAATTGTTATACTCAAACTGTAGAACTGATGTTTTTGAAAATACTTTGTTTTGAAACCAGAGAGGTTGGAGTTCAGTATCTTGGCTCATGTAGGAATAAGTAAGTACTGAGAATGGGAAAAAAGGAATGAAACATGTAAAAACGTTTATTGAGAAGATGCTCTATATCACATACTTATTGTTGTATTCAACAATAATCTACCCCCTTGACTATGACTGAGACTCAGAAGGTAACTGAGGCACTGGAGCTTGCGTGGTCTATCAGTTTCCTGTAGGTTACAAGTAGCATGTCTGGATTCAGACTGATTGTGTGACTCTAGAGCTGATGCATTTCCTTTCACTACACACCAAAAAGTGGAATGTTAGAAATTGGTAAACCTTTTTCTTAAATCTCTAAGCGTTTCTACTCATCTGTGAAAATAATGGAATTACCATGTTTTTTAGAATCACCTGATGATGTTCAAAAATATCAAACACTATATTTTAAAACAGGGAAAGGTAAAGAAAAGTTCTGCTTATTATGAACCATCTGTTACTTCTTGATTTAGGTATTGCCTCCTTCCTTTCAAGATACATTGCTGAGTTGAGGCTTTGAATAAGTAATTAAGCATATAAAAGAAACCAAGAGAATAACTTTATGTAAAGGTTTGGATCTTTTCTTTAGGACTCTTTTCATTAATTCAGCAAATTAATGAATATTTAAATGCTGCAAAAGACCTCCTTAAAGTGTTTAAGAGCAAAACTGTCACTTTGAAGACTAAGGTGCTCCTGACGCAAGCCATGATCTTTTCATTTACCTCATATGCATATGAGAGCTGGACAATGAATAAGGAAGACCTCAGAAGAATTGATGCATTTGAGTTGGGATGTTGGAGAAGAATATTGAATGTACCATGGACTGCTAGAAGAGTGAAGAAATCTGTCTTGGAAGAAGTACATCCAGAATGCTCTCTAGAAGTGAGAATGGCCAGACTTAATCTCTCATACTTTGGTCATGTTGTCAGAGGGATCAGTCCCTGAAGAAGGACATTACGCTGGTGAAAATAGCAGGTCAGAAAAAAGGAGAAGACCTCAACATGATGGATTGACACAGTGACTGTGACAATGGGCTCAGGCGTGATAACAATTCTGAGGATAATGCAGGACTGGGCAGTATTTTGTTCTGTTATATATAGGGTCACTATGAGTCGAAACGAACACAATGGCACTTAACAACAACAATTTTGTACATAATATTCCATATCAGTTTCACATTAGTTTTTATTATATTGGAAAACAATATTTTTAATATTGCATGTTGCTGTTAGTTGCCATCGAGTTAATTCTGCCTCATGACAACCCCATACGTGCAGAGTAGCACTGCTCCCTAGGGTTTTTGAGTCTGTAACCTTTGGGAAGCAGATCGCCAAGCCTGTCATCTGAGGTGCCTGTGGGTGAGTTTGAACCACCAGCATTTCAGCTAGTAGTCGAGCACTTAATTATTTGCATCACCCAAGGAGCTCTTTCAGTATTGCATAGTGATTAACAGCTTGGAATTTGGACTCAAATAAACCTGATTTGAATACTGGAACTGTCACTCACTAGTGGTATCATCTTGCCCAAAATATTGAATTTTGAATTTCAGTTTCTTCATCTGTAAAATGGGGTTAATAATAGTAAATACCTCACAAAAATGTGTGTCTGTGTGTGAGTATATGAGAGAGAGAGAGAGAAATAGAGCAATTATCCATGTGTTTGTGTGTCAAGATTAAGTTATTTAATACATTAAACACTCAGTACAGTTCCTGGCACAAAGTGAGAGCTCATAAAATGTAAACTTTTATTACCATTAATATAGTCCATTCTAGCCATATGATTTATGAAAATTTTGTTTTCTTCAGAAGCATCTAGGTTTAAAGAACTGAAGTCTGAAGCTAGACTTCACTAATTAACTTTGAACCTTGAACAAGTAGTTACTTAACCTTTCTGTGCCTGGCTTCCTCATTTGCAAAATGGAGGTGATAATAGTACCTTCCTCATAGGGTTATTGTGAGAATTAAATGAGTTAATATTCCTAAAACACTTAAAAGAATGCCTGGCACTTTCCAATTCCTTCTCATAACATTGTTACAGTTGAAATCTGTAAGATTTCTACTATAGTTATAAGAAAGTAGAAAACTTCCTACATAACTGAATATCAGGTTTACTGATTATAGGATAGATTCAAATCATTATCGGTCAGAGGGCTAAGATGCGTTAAAAAAGGAGGAAGCATAGACAGAAGCCAAAAAACCAAACCCACTGCCATCAAGTTGACTAGACAGAAGGAGAGAAAATAAATGTATATGAATTTTATTATGTACAAGATGACTATAAATACTAATATCTCTGTTTTAAATAAACAGTAGAAGTAGTTCATTTTCTCTTATTCATTCTGGTGGTGACAGTATGGAAAACAGATATAATGCTGAATTAATTCCCAATTAAATCTGGCTAATACAGAGTTTCTTCCATTTTGGTATAAATTCTGTAAGAATGGCACAGTGGAGGCTTCTGACCTCCTCTAACTTCACAAGGCAGAAGGTTGACCGAGATCAACACCCCAGGGCCGATTCCTATGAAGCAGAGTTCAAACATGCCTCCACCCTCCAAACTTTTTACCAGTTCTAACACCAACTGTCTCTCCTATTGTACTCTCTGCTTCTTTGCTTGGTTCAGTTTGTTGCAACAGCCACACAGAACTCACAGATAATATTCCAATTATGAGGTTTATTAGGGAAGTAACAGGTTACAGATCAGGATCAGAAATGATTCCGGTTATGGTTCTTTGATCAAGACAGCCTGTTCTTAGGCATGCCTGCAGGCACATCTTTCTCTGGCCCTTGGCCTCCTGGCCTTGGCCCCTTAGCCTCTGCCCTGCTTGGGCAAGTGTTACAAAGCACTTTTAGCTCTGCCAATAATTGTCCAGAGGCAGCCCACTTGCAAGTAAGATTCTGCCTGAAGGTTCTCAGCTCTAGCTCCATGGGTCAGCAAACTTAGGTCCACCAAGTACTTGGGTGTCACGCCACTCTGCCAGCTAACCTCCTGCCTGAAGGCACTCGGCTTTCTCACCCTGTAGGTCCAAAAACCTACTTCTCCATCTCCTCTTGATCCCTTGGTTAGTTGCCTCTGATGCAGCCCCTTTTCTACCACTGTCTGGCCATCTCTCACCATCTCCGGTATTACGGCCTTCTGTCTCCTGGATCCAGGCAGTTCTCAGTGCAGGGACTCTAGGTCTAAAGAACGCGCTCCACTCCTATCTCTTTATCTTGGTGGTGGTCAGGTCTCCCCTTTCCACCTCGGGGATGGCTCATTTTAAGCCTAGTGGAATGGCAAAAGGGACCAGTCCCCATGTTAGGGTTCCATACACTTTATTTGCATGGTCTCACCCTGACAAGGGTGTCATGCCCCCTGTTTACATTCTCAAAAAATCCAGACTCACTGCTCGAGTTGGATCCAACTCATAGTGATCCCTCCTTGGGTTTTTGAGGTGGTATCACTATGGCAATAGATTGCCCAATCTTCCTTCTGAGGAGTAGCTGGTGGGTTTGAACCTCTAGGTTTCTGGTTAGCAGTCAAATGCCTTAGGTGCTATGGCACCAGTTCTCCTCCTGTTTATGTTGTTAGCAAGCTATCCAATCCCATTGGTGGGCCATAAGCACCTCACATTTGCATACTCCTACCCAGTCATTTGGTGAGAGTTACAAAGTCTGTGGCTAGAATGGCCACATTTAGTAATTCTCTGCACTGCAAGTCCTAATAATAACTTTCTCCTTAAGATGATTGGCCTGTGTATTGCATGATTACTGGGAGTTATACATCATATTTCATAAACAGGTTTGAAGCCTTTTCATTTTATTTTTTGAGGGCGAGGTGGAGAGATGGTTTTTCAAAGACTCTACATAATTTGGATAAAAATTCTGAATATATTCAGATGTCACTAGCATTTGTCTTATATTTTTCTCAAATGCTAACAGTTCATCATAGGTCTGGAAGTCAGAATTATTGCTTTTATTCCTGTAAAGGTATAATCCTAACATGTCTATTGTTGTTTTTTGCCATCGAGTTGACCCCGACTCATAGCCCCTCCTTGGGTTTCCGAGGCAGTATCACTACGGAAGTAGGATTGCCCAACCTTCCTTCCGAAGAGTGGCTACATGTCTATAGTATTTGTTTATTTATTATTTATTTATTTTTACTTGAGCTGATGATAGATTCTCAAAAGGGTAAAAGAAGGACCCTGCATTTTGTCTGGACTTAAAAGAAAGAGAGACTCATAGGGGAGAAGAGTATCTATTTATTGTTTGGTTTGTATCTTCAGTTATATCAAAACTAAACGTGTATATCAATTTATGTTTAGTAATCATTGAAAAGGAGATGAACAAGCTGGATCATTTATCACTTAATAGTGGTATTTTATTCATAATAAAGAATTGTGACAGTTTTAACAGAACACTGATTTCAGTTCATTATTAACTCTTGACAGTTTACTTACCTAAATAGATAAATGGCATTTAAAAAATACACATAATTGAATATTCCAAGACCCAGGTAGACATTCTCATAACACTGGGCTTTTGAGAGAAATACCAAAATGTAACTGTCTAGGTTGGAAAAGGGAGAATGTAGGTGCCAAATACACTTTGCACAAGCCTAGTCTTTCAACAATAACAAGTATGATGGCAGAACCTTTTATGAAATTAGAGCTACAGAGAAAACCTCATGATCTTTCCAGTGTGCGGAGTACTTTCCAAGTTTGTCAGGAACAAAGAGAAAAGTAATTTTGCTGCTAACAGCCTAATTTATAACTCTTATTGTTTATTCAAAAGGTCTCATCTAAAGAGGACTGGTCTTTCAGGAGCAACTTTTCACTTCACCGACAACACCATGCAGAGGGTGACACTGAAATGCTTTATCAGGCTGATCTTCATTTCAAACTCCCCCGTAGCACAGATCTATTAGGTAATTTCAGAGATACCATCTACCTCACTCAGGTAAGGCATTTTTATTCTGGAGCTGAACATGTTTCTGCAAATAATATAAGATTTTGCAGGTCTTATGTGATGAAATGCTTTTCCATTCTACTGATAAAGAAGGTTGTTTTTCATTTTCCTTCAAAATATGTATTTGATAACATGTAAGACTTGAAATAATTAGACTTTGGCATTTATCTCTTTTATAAGAACAGATCATGAAATTTAAAAGCAAATTATGCATTAAAATGTTCCCTACCTCAAAATTAGGAGCTCTGGTAGCACAGTGGCTAAAGCATTCAGCTACTAACCAAAAGACCAGCAGTTGGAACCCACCAGCCACTTGGCAGGAGAAAGATGAGGCAGTCTGCTTCTGTGAAGATTACAGCCTTAGAAACCCTAGGAGACAGTTCTACTTTGTCCTAAAGAAGATCATTATGAGTCAGAATCAATTAGATGGCAGTGGGTTTGGTTTGGTGGCTCAAAGCTACTTTTTTTTTTTTTTTTTTAGGATTTGGGTGAAGATTTACAGAGTAAATTCACTTTTCATACAGCAGTTCACATATACTTTGTCTCATGTCATTGACCAAAATTTACAATGCAGCAGCTCCCCTCCCACTTCCTCCCCATAGTTACCTCCTCCCAGTGTCCATCCCTTCATACTCTTCTGCACCCTGAGCTATCTCCCTGTGCATAAGCAGCCCTTCCTTCTCCCATGATTGTTCTCTCCAGGGCGTGTATCTACTTGAGGTAAATGTTTAACTCACATGCCTTTACTTTGTTTGGCTGGAAACCACAGTTGTGGGTTCAATTCCAGACCTGAAGGGCAGCTAGGGGCCATAGTCTCAGTGGTTACACCAGGCTCTACTGGACCAGCAAACCTGGTGCCCACCTTCTTTTTTTTTTTTGCCTCCAAATGATTTTGAGTTTTGTACCACATTGTTCTCCCTCTTTATGCAGGATCTCCTACATCCCTTCCAAGTGGATGGCAGTGGTTGCTGGGCACCATCTAGTTCTTCTGGTCTCATAGTTGTATAGGTTGCAGATCAGATGGTGTACCAGTCGCTAGGACTGATTGTTTCCATTAATTTTGGTTTTCTTCTTTCTTCTTGACGAGGAGAGACCCATTGTTGCATCTAGATGGCAGCTTCCTAGCTTTTAAGGTCCCAGTCGCTACTCGCCAAAGTAGTAGGTAGAACAATGTTTTGTATAGTATGTTATGCCAATTGAGTTTGATGTCCCCTGCGACTATGGTCCCAAGCCCGCAGGATCAACTACTCAGTTCCTCTGGGTAGCTGGCTGTGACCAAGTAATGACCATAACCTTGCCCCTTGTCAGCTCTACTATACACCTGGGAATTCTGATCATTCACATGAACTTATAGGCCCATTGTCTGCCAACCCTGTATATGATCTTGGATACACTCTCCATTTAGACATACCTAATTGTTTAGCTTGTTCACCCATCTATCTGTCCCTATACCCATGTTTGCTTTCACTGACAACTCAGTATTGTATATGCAAAGGGGTTCATATTTGTTGTTTGTACTGCCCATGTAACTCTCTCTGTCTTTCTCATCCTCAATGCTGCCATATTGGTCACTCACATTTGGTACATTGCCCTTCTCTTCACCCAAATCAATATTTATCTCTATCTATCTAACAGCATTCCCTCCCCTTCCCTCCCACCCCTGGTAACCAACAAAGAAAATTCAAAGCTACTTTTAAAATAATCAAATCAGTTGCCATCAGGTTGATTCCAACTCATAGCGACCCCATATGTTACAAAGTAGAACTATGCTCCAAAGGGTTTTTAAAGTGGTAAACCTTTGGAAGCAGGCATCTTCCGAGGTGCCTCTGGTGGGATTCAAACTCCAACCCTTCCATTGGTAGTGGGGTGTTTTACTGTTTGCGCCACCTACAGGCTCCAAAATTATTACGCTGTTTTTGTTGGGTACCACTGAGTCTATTCTGACTCATAGTGATGCTGTCTGACAAAGTAGACCTGCCTTGTAGGGTTTTCTCGGCTGCAGTCCTTAAGGGAGCAGATCTCTAGGTCTCTGCCCCAAGGAGAGAATGACTGGGTGAGTTTGAATCACCAGCCTTTCAGTTAGCAGCTCAATGCTTAATTGTTTGCACCACCAGAGCTTGTTCCAAAATTACTCTAAAGGTTGAGTAATTAAGATAGTGTTATCTGCACCCCCACCCACCACCCAGATCCACTGCCATAGAGTTGATTCTGACCCCACAGGGGTCATAGCAACCCTACAGGACAGAGTAAAACTGTTCCATAGGGTTTTCAAGGCTGTAAATCTTCAGGGAAACAGTCTACTTCATCTTTCTCCTGCAGAGCAGCTGGTGGGTTGGAACCACCGATCTTTTGGTTAACAGCTGAATGCTTTAACCACTGTGCCACCAGAGCTCCTTTCCCCCAGTGGACCAGAATAGACTCTAGAAACAGACTTATGCTGATTTGCTCACCTGACTCAGAAACAAGATGCCACTGCAGTCTAGTAAAAAAAAAAAAGATAGTCTTATTAATAAACAGAAGCCCTGGTGGCAGAGTGGCTAAAGTACTCGGCTCCAACTGAAAGGTTGGAGGTTTGAACCCACTAGCTGCTCCATGGGAAAGAGATGCAGCAGTCTGGTTTCATAAAGATTTACAGCCTTGGAAACCCTATGGAGCAGTTCTACTCTGTCCTATAGGGTTGTTATGAGTCAAAATAGACTTGATGGCACTGGGTCTATTAATAAACAATACTTGGTCCCTGTGTGGTACAAAAGATTAATGCTCTTGGCTGATAACTGAAAAATTGACAGTTTGAGTCCACCAAGAGGTGTCTTAAAAGAAAGGCCCAGTGATCTATGTACTTCTTGAAAATCAGCCATTGAAAACCTTGTGGAGCGCATCTCTACTCTGACAAATGTAGGGATGCCTTGAGTTGGAATTGACTTGATGTCAACTGGTTTTGGTTTATCAATTGGATACCTTTATGGGGAAATAAATAGACCTTGATTTCATACATAAAAATTAATTTGCATACAGATCAAGGAGTCAAATGTGAAAGGTAAAACAATAGAACTCATAGAAGAAAACATAGGAAAATATCTTCATAACCTTGGAATAGGCAAAGACTTCTTAAACAGGATACAAAACACACTTACTATTAGTTAAAGTATCAATAAAGTATAGATTAATTGGGCTTCATTAAAACTGTGGACTTCCGTGTACCTAAGAAACGATTAAGAGAGACAAAAAGAAAAGGTGAGAATATTTGCCATACATATATTTGATAAAAGATTTGTGTCCAGAATAAAAAACGTCTATAAACAAACACAACAAAAATCTTGAAGTACATGTATGAAAATGAGGTCAATCTCATTCTTAATCAAGAAAATGAAAATTAAATTCCTACCAGGCTACATCTAACACCATGAGAATGCTTAAATTACAAAGATTGACAATAGCAACTGTTGGAGCGGAGGTGGAACAGCTGGATATTGTTAGTAGGAGTGTAAATTTGTATAATGACTTTTGAAAACTTTATGGTAGTTTCTATCATAGCAAAACATTTACTTTCCATTCAAACCAACGCTTCTACTCCTAGCTATGTTCCCAAGATAAATGAGTGCATATATTCACTGACAGACATCTATAAGAATGTTCGTAACAACTTTATTCACAATAGTTCCAAAGCAGAAACAACTAAAGAACCTTTAACAAGAGAATTGATAAATAAATTGCAGTATATTCATACAATGGAAAACTTGACATCAGTAAAAAGAATGATCTATTGATATTAGGATCAACTTAGATGAATTTTACAAACGTTAAGCTTAGACCAAAAAAAAAAAAAAAAAAATAGCCCACATGTTCTGGTTACCTAATGCTGCTCTGATAGGAATATATCACCAATGGGATGGCCTTAACAAACAGGAGTTTATTCTTAAAATTTGGAGGCTTTAAGTCCAAGCTGAAAGTGCCAGGCTCTAGGGGCTGTGTGAAAGCCCCTCGACCTTGGGCTTCAGCTCTGCCTCTTGCTCCCGGCCCACTGAAGCTAGAGGCATATCTTCACTCAGGCAGCTACTGGCTGCTGAGGCTAGCAAGCACAAGGTTGACCAATAAAATGGCACAGTCCTGATGTTATCAAACCACATGGCAGCCCAGTAATTCAAGTCTGTCGTAAGTCCCAAGGTCAGCAGAGCATGACAGGCTGCTGAAGAATGACACTGCTACTTGCAGGGTCCAAGTGTATCATAAGCTAGAGACCATTCTTAAAGCTCCTTCTTATATATGGGAAACACACCACATAGTCAAAGCAGCTACTCAGCTGCTCACAGTAGATTCCACCATGGAGCTGATTACATGTCTTATCACGGGGAATACTACATCCAGCTGCCCAGCCACTCAACCAGGCCCAGCCAACTTGACACACAAACTGAACTACCACAATTCCACCCCTTGTCAATTTGGCATCTGTACAGATTTTCAATGGGTGGCATCTATACAGGTCTCCTCCACTGGGTGACTCCAGTGCCCTAGTTCCTGAGTGGTGACCTCACCCCCTTGGCCTGCTGGGCCCCATTCCTCTCCCTCTTGGGCATGGCAGCCCTACCCCCTCTGTCTTGGGCAGCAGCTATGGCACCATCCCACTGACCTACATGAACTAGCAGTCCCACACTCCAGAACCAAGTTGGTGAAGGTCTGGCTCTTTGAAACCTAGGGGGCTATGGTGGTTCCACCCCCAAAGGCCATAGTCCTACCCTTAAGGCTGAGGCAGCTTTGCTTCCCATTTTCTTGGTCTCTCAACTTCTGCCAATTAATGGTCAAGGGCAACTCACTCTGCTGGAAATCTTCCTGCCCTAAAGGACACTTAGCTTTCTTGCTCCGTGGACCAGACCACCTGCTACTCCGTTTTATGCTGGTCTTTTCACCAATTAATGCCCGAAGGCAACCCACTCCTCCAGAAAGCCACCTACCCAGTGGCACCCAGCTTTCTCCTCTGTGGGCTGGTAAGGCTG